GTCATCATCATCATCATCACCTTTAGCCCAACCGTTTCAGACTTTGAAAGTCATATCTTGGACACCCTGTGTGACGCAAAGCGTTTTTGGGGACTCAATCCATTCAGGCCGGTTTCGTCACACGCGGGCTCTGAACCTTTAAAGCTCTGTGGATCACATCAACGGCGACGGCAATATCTATTTATCACCCATCCTTCCTGTTCTAAAGCTGCCGCACTTGTGGGGTGGGGGGGGGGGAGTATGGGTTGGCACATGCCAGCAGATCAAATCTTGATATTCTGCTCATATCGAGATGATCTGAGGAACGCTTACGGCACACATCGGCACACTGTCGCGCAAATCACTAAGCAAGCCTCAAAACGCTTCAGCGCTGCAGGCGTGCTTGGCAGAGCAACACCATGCATTCCCTGACGGACCCTTGACTTGCATCAAACATGCTCTAAGAAGAAAGCCCGACAGGCAACACGTTCTAAAAACATCGTAGCTTCCTACAGGAGACTAGCTAGCTGTCTTTTGTGGATAGCTTCCTCTTGGGCTTCCTCCTTTGCTCCGGTCACTGTTGGGTCCCTGGCAAGGTTGGCCGACCGGTGGATGGCCGCCTCGGTCACCTGGTTGGGTTGCTCTTCGTTCGGTATTTGATAAAGAAAGAGGTGGTCTCTCGTTTCCGACCTACATGATTGGAAGGCCTCGGTTTCCTCCACATCTTTCTCCACAGTTGAAACGGGACAGGGCCTCCCTGTGGTTCAACTAGTTTCTCTACTGTATGGCTTACTACGAAAACATCTATTTCCTGCATATTCTAGTCGGAGACCACCTTTCACATTATTCATGGGGGAACAAAACCCTCAATTTCCTGTATTTTTGAGGTGGCAAACCGTTTATGTCTTTGTTGTTTAATCGGTACTAGAGCCTCCTTCCTTTTCTCGATTAAACCGACTCTAATGCTTAAGTATTTTGAGGGAAAACCTGAGCGAGCCCGAAATAACCGCTCCCGTACAGTCTTTTTATGAGCCTGTGGAAATTGCAATCTCCGCTGAACCGCGCAATCTTTCACATACAATGAAAGGTTAACAACTTTTGTGGGGTATGTGTTTCAGACGACGAAAAGGTTAACAACTGTTATGGGGTATGCATTTCAGACCACGAAAAGGTTAACAACTTTTATAGGGTATGTATTTCAGGCCACGAAAAGGTTAACAACTTTTATGGGGTGTGTATTTCAGACCAGGACACGGTTAACAACTTTTATGGGGTCTGTTTCAGACCACAAAAGGTTAACAACTTTTATAGGGAATGTTTTTCAGACCACGAAAAGGGTTAACAACTTGCATGGGGTATGTATTTCAGACCAGGAAAAAGTTTACAACTGTATGTGGTATGTATTTCAGACCACGAAAAGGTTAACAACCTTTTATAGGGTATGTATTTCAGACCACGAAAAGGTTAACAACTTTTATGGGGTATGTATGTCAGACCACGAAAAGGTTAACAACTTTTATGGGGTACTTCCGACCACGAAAAGGTTAACAACTGTTTTGGGGTATGTGTTTCAGACCACGAAAAGGTCAACAACTTCTATGGAGCATGTATTTCAGACCACGAAAACGTTAACAACTTCTATGGGGTATGTGTTTCAGACCACGACAAAGTTAAGAACTTTTATGGCGTATGTAGTTCAGACCGCGGAAAGGTTAACAACTTTCATGGCGCATGTATTTCAGACCACGAATAAGAACTTTTTATGGGGTGTGTATTTCAGACCACGAAAAGGTGAACAACGTCTATGGGGTATGTATTTCAGACCTCGAGAAGGATAACAACTTTTATAGGGCATGAATTTCAGACCACGCAAGAGCTAAAGAAACTTTCGTGGAGGGGTGTATTTCAGACCACCCAAAGGTTAACAAGTTTCATGGGGTATGTATTTCAGACCACGGAAAGGTTCAACAACTTTTATGGGGTATGTATTTCAGACCACGAAAAGGTTAACAACTTCTATGGGGTATGTATTTCAGGCCACGAAAAGGTTAACAACTGTCATGGGGTATGCATTTCAGATCACGAAAAGGTTAACAACTTTCATGGGGTATGTGTTTCAGACCACGACAAGGTTAAATCATCAAAATGAACAGAAGTACTTCGACTCTGGTGGAAAACAGGTGGTCTTCCTTAAATTGGCGGGAGCGGGTCAAATATGATGTGTCTCAGAATGAATTTAATCAGCCAAGGCCCTCCCTCCGTTTCGGGCCGATCCCCAGAGAGCTCCCGTCAAAAAGCGGACTCTGCGTTTCCAAAGGGCTTATGGATCCTGGACCCCCCTGGAGCTCTGATGGGCCTATGACCTCTCTATGGACCCCATATGTACGCCTCCCTATGGACTCGTGGATGCTTGACTCCCTACACTGTGAACCCTTTTGAACATTCCATCCTGTGAACCTCCTATGGACCCACTCCATGAACTATGGACCTTCTATTGTAGCTTTCCTTCTACCTCCGATAAACCCTTGTTTGGCCCTGTCTCTGGCCCTCTATCGGACCCGTTGCACCCTTTGACCTTTTCTGGACCCGGTGCCAATCTCGACTTTCGTGAACTCATGCGAAGGCTGCGCATGAATGAACGTCTTGTTTTGTTCTGAGCATGTTCTCTTACTGAACACTCGAGGGCTCAGTTGCCAGCACATCCTTGCATGACTGGCCCGCAGTGCCCTAGCAGGACACTCCTTTAAAACAGCGGGCGCTCTCAGGTCCACACAAACCAGACAGAATGCCCGGGGAACGGGCCTTGTGGACCGCAGTGGACGTAGCGTCATTCACCTTTTTGCGCTTCACTGTGTGCTGATGGACTGGTGATCACAGCTCTTTTGGAGGCCTGCTCGACCGCACCTGCAGCTGCCCAGACTATGTCACCTCCGGATTTGCCATTCTCTTGCAGATCGTGTCCAGGCAGATTTGATATCAAAGCAATGCACTACTCCATGTCTGCAGCCCGAAGTCTGGGAACAAATCCCCAAAGCCAAGAAGGTAGCACTCGCCTGCATTGCAGGCGATTTCCGACGCCGACTCGCTGATCGCGTACCTGGCCGTATTGTTCACATGGCCTGAGGACCATCTGAAGACCGACTCAAGACCAGCCCTCGCCCCGACAACACCGCAAAGAAACACAATCAACGCGGACTCAAAATCTCCTCAAGACGTGAATTCTAAACACTACTCTCCATTCGTCCCTACCTCTGGTCCAGCTCCATCAGATGCGTCGCCTCAGCAAAGGCTATCCCAAAGGTTTGGATGGGTGCGATGCAGTGCAGTGCGATCAGGTCCACAACAGAGACCCGAGCTCCATCAGTGACGGTTTGCTTGATGGCCAACTCGTGCTCAAGCTCCATGGCCTTAAGGCCAGCTGTCGCATGTTTACGACCGTTACCACTATTGTTCTGATTGACAGCACTCTTGACAGCACAACTCTGTCGGTGCCTTTGCTGCTGCAATGACTGCAGCTGCTCGCACTCCTGACACAGCATGCCGTAGCCTGGGGCCGGTCAGAGGAATCAAGTGCTGGGCCGAAGACCAAACATGGCAAAACTCCCTAACTCGTGCCTAGATGCGCCCAGCGCCTAGCACCTAGAGCAATACGATTAACGGGAAAGAAGCCTGAGCAACATTCAAAGAAGGAATGCCCCAGACTGGTTTAAACAGCTTCACGTGATGCTTCTCGACTTCTCGTGGTCTTTGCACTGTTCCATGCTCATCACTGAGATGGGGACCCAGTCTCCTTAGCTTTGGATTTTCTTGTGTGTCTTATGAGGTTCTTATGGTCAACGGAAGCAGAGAATCGAGGTGTAGAGACACAAGGCGCAGAGACACGAACAAATAGTCATGTTTTGAAGAAAGGGCACTGCAGCATGGACAATGACAACGACCCCTCCCGTCGGGAAGAAATGTCCGCCAAGGCACCACCTGGGCACCGGCACCAGCCCTGACACGCGGCTTCGGCGAATTGGAGATTTGGGATTCAAGATGTTCGAGGGAATGATTATGTGCAAGGCTGCAAAGACAGTTGCATTGTCACTATCCGTGGGTTGGGTGATTGCGGGTGATTGCTCCGAATCCTTCGAGGGTGGTTTCACGGCTGGGCTAAGCGGCGGAGTGATAGCTTCCAAGCGTTTCCGAATCCTTCGAGGTGTTTCAAGCTCATGCCGGCTGACATGTTCAAAGGGTGATGCTTGTGGCCTTTGGCAAATATACTGCTCTCAGTGTCTGTCACTCGCTGCCTCTGCTCTTAATCATCGAACTCTGAGCTCCTTTTCGAGCCTCATTCAGATCAGATTGCGTCCCCTTGGGCCCGCGCAAGTTGGTGATCCAGCCAGGTATTGGACCAACTCCCAGACGTCTGCAGCGTGCCGCACATCAACCCTCAACATCAGACTCGAAACTTACGGCATCATGTGGGAGAGCTGGATCTCCTAAATCCTAAACCTCCAAGTCCTGAACCTGTTCTAGCCCCTGCCTGCAGAGTGCATCACTAAAGTGGCAGCAATTTCGGTGAAGGACGTCGTAGTCTTCACCTGGCTTGGGATTCCACATTGCCATGGTTTGGGGAGTTGCATGGAACTGCAAAATCCCCCCCCCCCCCCCCCCCCCCCCCCCCCCCCCCCCCCCCACATCGCTAAGCCTAAAATGCGGCCACGCGAAGCCAAGATCCGGGTCGAGACATGCCCTCCGAAATGCATCATTTCTTAGATGCAGACTATTCCCCCTGCAAAGAAGTGGAGGCGCACATCATTAACCCTGTTCTTTGATTTGGGATTCCGAAACTCTGAAGGGGGCACCGACCACCAAAAAGAGCGCGCATCACAAGCATTACTGGCTCGGGCCCGGTGCAGAAACTGCCATACATCGGTTTTCGTGCGCCGATGGATGCTCCTTTGTTCGAGCCACTGCGAGCCCCCCGCGCGGGGGGGGGGGGGGGGGGGCATTCCGGTGCTTGCAAACAAGCCCTGACATCAGATCCTCAACGCAACGCTCGCATAGTAGGACCTTCCTGACGTCGTCGTCTTCTGCTGCTGATGATGCTGCTGCTGCTGCTGTTGCTGCCGCTGCTGCTGCTCTAACCCACCACCTTGCACCCATACACCCATACCTTGGTTCTTGTCGCTCTGGGGCGTGGCCGGCTGCGGGCGACAGGACCATAAAATCGGGAGACTGTCACACCGTGTCCATTTTCGGGAAAGCCAGTCCCAACACTTGGCACGGGTTGCACTGGAGCTACTGGAAAAATTCGTGTGAGCGCCGATATCGGCACACCTGCTTTCCACACGGCTGCCTGCCCAAGCCTCCAGAAACCCTGGCTGGCCTTGCCAATCCTGTGCCAAAGCGCTCAGGTGGAGCATAACGTCCTGCACAGCTGCTTGGGCCAAGCGAAGACAGACAGCACACGACGTGAAAAACAAAAGACCGAGCTATCAATAAGCACAGCAGAACTGGACGATAAAAGTGCGTTACAGAAGGCACGCTATGCTGACAGAAACAGGAGCAAGAGCATTTGACAAAAACCACAGCTTTCACTCCATATGTCAAGCGAACACACCGTCGACCTCTTACAGCTGATTCTTGGGTGGCTACGGTATGGGTCTGAACCAAACCCTTCGCAAATGCAGCCCCCCTCGTCCTCCGCTGAATCCCCTGCCTTGACAACGACCAAACTCCAGAATTCGCCGAAAGCTTTTGAAATTACAGCTTGCTGGGCCTCCTGGAGCTTGCTGTGTGCTTGCTCATTGTGTCTGTTGCCTTGTGGCGTCCGCTTGACATTTTGCATGGCGTTGTCGTGTCCTTTCCTTGCTCCGCACTCTGGACCGACAGCACTCACGAGAGCACTCGCTGGTGCTTGACAAGCTGGCACAAACTTCAACAGGACTTCAACGTGGATCCATCCCAGAGCCATGTCTAGCTGGAATTCCACCATGACATAGAACAGCAAGTCTTCCAGGACTATCGGGACTTCCTTTGAAGCCACGGGTGAACGCATGTGCGAGTTGCACAGCAGCACGGCCCGGTACTGCGACCGAGCAGGGGCAGAGTATGCCGACTGTGCCTGACCATAAGCATCCATAAACCGAAAACCATCGAAAACCTCAACCCTGCCCGCTTTGCGTGAGAACGTCCTCCTCCCGCAGGCAGGTGACGCCCATGGTCACCGCCTGTGAGATCCCAACTATGCTGGAACTTGAGGCTGTCTTCTCCAGGTCGGTTCTGTTGTGGAAGTTCTCACTTCTGCACACAAAGGGCCGCATGAGGATGCACGTTAATCACCACCCCTTGAAGTTACAATGCTCTTTCCGGGGGGGGGGACGGCCTCTGCAACATGTGGGAACCTGGGGTGGGGGGGGGAGTGCTGTGTAGTTTGTTAAGCAAATGAAGTAGGGTTGATGGTAGTGCTCGTATCCCGCGAAGAGCGGTCCGAGCAAGAAGCGAGAATCTAAAGCACATCACGAAGCAGCTCTAGCGCTCTAAATCCTTCATGAGAAGTGAAAGGATCTAGTTTATTACTCGTATCACCAAAAGGACACCCATTACATGGTCATTTCTCCAAAATATGGTCCCTTTTGGGGTCCGATAAAAAGGCGGCCCTTCTTATTAGGTACCCCAAAAAGGTATGACCAGGCGCTCCGCGGCCCCCGCTCCCCCTCCCCCCCAAGGAATGGTACCCCCTCCACCCCCCTGTGGTCTGGTTGTGGGGTGGGGTTCAGCTGAGGGTTTTAATTTTTAGGGTGTTGGGGCGTCGGGTTCCTCTCCCCCTTTGTGGTGTGGCTGTGGGATGGTTTTACGGTTTGGGACTTAGGGCTCTCGAAATTCAGGGTTCAGGGCTTAGCTTTTAACGTTCAAGGTTTCGAAGTTCAGTTTAAATTTAAATGTATAGGGTTTAGGCATTAGGCCAGGTTTTAGGGCTAGGGCTTCTGGTTTAGGGTTTTTTGGGGCTTTCAGGGTTTTAAGGCTTCGGCTTTTCAGTCAAGGCTGGTGGCTTCAGGCTTGCACAGTTTTAAGCTTGTAGGGTTTAATTGGGTCCAGTAAGCCCTGAACCCTAACCCTAAACCCTGCCCAGAACCTTAAGACCCCCAGAACCCCTCCCCCCTCCCGGACCAAACCATTTTTTCCATACCATTGTTGTTTTTCTTATTTTGTTTTTTTTTGGGGGGGGGGGGGGGGGGGCAGGGACGCCAGACGCCTGTTGTGCGCTTCCCGCTGCTTTGGTGTCTCGCCAAAAAAATGGCATACGATTCCCCCGCTCCTTGAGCCCCAACCCCTAAAACCCTTAACCCTCAAACCCTAAAACCTAAGCCCTAAAACACTAAAATCGTAAGCCCTATATAACTCCAAGGCCTAAACCCTAAAACCCTAAGCCCCAAAACCCTAAACCCTAAAAACCAACCCACGCTCAGCTCACACCACAGAAAGGGGGGGGATGGGGGGGAGCCGGAGGGTTCGCCAGGGCGGGGAGGGAGTGGGTGGGAGGGGGGGCGAGGAGGGGGGAATCCGTTTTCAATGTTCTGGAGGCCACGAATGCAACGTTTGAAGCTTCAAGGCTCCCTCTCCAATCCATCAAACGAAGCGTGCAAAATGATCCAACAATCCCCCGCCCATTGCAAAGCACTGATGGTAATGCACGTCACTCATCAGCATTACCATCGGCGCCTCCCGATAAGCGTGATCGCCACACTCGCCAGGGTCGCCTTGCCAAAAGACCGGTGGGACGAGACCAGCCCCGGCCAACACGAGCCGCCAAAGCCCACTCCAATTTGCCAAGCTCCAACAGACCCCGCAGCCATGCAAAAAAATATCTTTTGCTTGGGTTCGGGGAAACTTGCAAGTTGAAGCAACTGCTCTGTTTCTGCAATGCACTGCTGCAGGACATGATCAGTGCGCTTTCGAGGCCATAAGGCACATCTTCGTTTTAGAAGCCTTGTGGGTTACGGCTATGTCAAACAGGCCGGGCGATCAGCTGAAAACCCCGCTCCCTCCGTCGTCGGTGTAGCCAAAGCTCCACTCTGCACCATACACCTGCACAGTACCCATATTCAGAAGTGGCTTAGCCGAGACAAGAACCCGGAACGTGTTTCTATCCTGAACATTCGAACAAACCTATATGTATTGGTAGGTGTGTACATTGGTATGTACGTACACATATCTAAATATGTACACGCATGTATACATGTGTGTCTCCACTTACATGTAAATCTATACACATATATAGAAACCCATATGGATATATGTCTCAATGTTTACATACATGCACATATTGCATATGTAAACCTTCATATATATATATATATATATATATATCTGTATATACATATACACACACATGTATTTACCTTGTTATTATTGATTTATGTACGATATACAGATCTGTTGGACAAGGCATATATATATATATGTGTAAATGGATATATATATATATATGTACAATGTGGGGAATCGTTTTCTGCACACTACCTATCCTTAACACATGCATACAGGTATACAAAACTTAACACGTATTGAAAACGTTGTAGACTCTTAACAGTTGAAAAGACGTCAAATTTGGTCAGAATCGTTGAAAATTGAGAACTTGAAACGAGAAAGATTTACATTTCTTGCAGGAAAACTTTTAACATCAAAACAACTGCTTTAAAAAACTTCTGAGGTCTTCGGGACACAGAAAACCTTAAACCGCATAAAACTCAAAAATCTATCAAACATATAAACCCTCATGAAAAGTAAAGTTAACAACACTCTGAAATTTCATGAAACATAGAGTTTATGGGGTCCCAAGAGGCTAAAGATTGAACTTCAGTGTGGTCATTATTATGTCATTCATGGTGAAGATTTAAGCAATGAAGTACTACTTGTGTTAGTAGTTCAGTGGCGTGTTAAGAGGTAACAGAGCTTTCTCATGTACTCAAGAAAACCTTCTTTAATAGGAACTCTGAGCCGCTATCCGAGAGGGCGAAGACCTCTCGGATCTCGGAGCTCGGAATTCCTGTAATCTCTTCTCAAAATAAGGGGGGACTTTGCTTTTCCTGGTAAGAAGTAGCGGACCTCATCCCTTAAAAAGTTAAAAGGAAGAGGTATATTCAGACTTCGTCTCAGTGTAAAGCACGAACAAGTCGACGGCAACAGATTTTTTAAGACATGTCTGGGAATATGTTTGCCGTCGACTCGTTTCGTCTCGACGTGATGGAGCGAGGCGGATAGCGGCAAATGTTGACCCCAACTGTTTGCAGAGAACATTGATATATCAATGAACAGCTAACCATTAGTTACAGAACACTTCTGAAGTATGTTCTGTCAAGAGGTGAAGGCGTTTTCTCATTTGCTACTAAGAGGTAGAGGTGCGCTGTTCATGTATGTTAAGAAGGCAGAAAGCTTCCGAGCCGTGGTTTCCGACCTCGCAGACCCGAACCTTTATCGGAAGCCTTATCGGAATGTGAGCCTCCACGCCCGCGTGGAACGCCCCAGTGCCGATGGCCCGGCAGAGACGATTCAGGCCAGAGATGACCTGAAGCAGAGTCCTACTGACCTAAGAAGTCCTGAGGTATATAAGTTACCAGTCTTGATAAAGCTTCTGCATTTCAACTTGAGTATATGGTCGCTGCAAGAACCGGTGTCAGTTCTCTATGGACGCAACCACTTCCGAACACAACCACGGCAGCTACAGCGCCAATGCGCAGAGTGCAAATCACATCGGGGGCGGCCACTGTCAGAAAACGCATCGGAAACAGGCCAAGTGCCAAGCAGAGAAAGCACTGCAAATTCGGAAAACAAAGCAGACGCACAAAACACTGCAAACCCCAAAACCAGTCGCGTACAAAATTCTTCCCTCCTACTCTTGCTGACTGTAGCTGCAGAGCTTTGGCCAGCTGTCTGCCAACTGAGTATATAAAGCAAGAGCAAAAAAAAAGTAAGAACAGACATGAATCGCTTATGCTGCTGAAAGGAATTCTAAGTGAATGGTCGCACTCGGCTCATTGAATCGTGGGCAAATTTGACCACCTGAACTGCCGGCCTCCGCGCCCGTGACATCGTAAATCCTCAGCCTTCAACGGCACCAACAACGTTTGCGCTACTGAGCAGAGCATTGGAAATTAAAAACACAAAACAGCTCAGCTCGCAACGTTACCACGGATGCCTTCATCCTGTCCGACAGCACAAGAAAACATGAGGCATGGCTAACCGATTCAGGACCCAGATGGCCCTATCTTTGTGGTTCGAGTCTGCGTGTACCAGGTTAGCCGTACAGCACCAGTTCGTGCTGGAGCCATCATGGCCACGACCGTCATCCTATCTTCGGATATGGGCGAGGATGGGTTGAGATTTCCCGGGTCGAGCGCGTTTCGGGAAGCCATGGTGCACGTACTCTTCTGCTCGTTCTGCACTGCGCATGACACTTCTGCACTACAATCCTAAACCCTAAACCCTAACCCCTAAACCCTAAACCCTAACCCCTAAACCCTAAACCCTAAATCTGTCCTGGATTCTGGAGGGCTTTTACCCTCCGTCGGAGCTTTCCGAAGCATCGAGGAACTGACCTCTGCGCCACAACGTGTTTCCGCAAAAGAACAGGTCGATTCAGCACCATCCTCTTTTGATTTAGATCTGAGAAATTCGCTTGCAAAGAGGCAGTGCACAGAGGCAAGATTGCAAGCACTGTCCCCAGACAGAAGAAGAAGAAGTGTTCATTTTCCAAACCACAAATTCACTTCACTAGCACCCTGCCCCTGAGATGTTGGAAGGACTTCTCGTGCTGAAACGGTTGCAAAAGGAGGTGAGAGCGCTTTCTTGTTGCTTCTTTGCTTGCCGCAGGGCGCGCCTGTTTTTCCTGTAGCGAACCCCCCTCCTTCTACTGATTCTGAAACAACTGTGCGTGGTTTCAAAGACATGGAGCATCTTCGAGGATGCTGGGAGGGCCAGACACCCTCAAGTTTCAGAGTTGAAGCAAGATGCGACGGCTAAGGTTGTTCCAGGAACCCTTAAGTCATGCTGTCAGTGTTGAAGCGCAGTGATGTCTGTAGTGCATCTGTAATTACCCCGAAAGAGGCGCCTCGAAAGGCGCGAAGGCCACAGAACGCCGCGCCCGGGTGTCCTTGAGCCGGCGCGAATTCGGAGGAAGAGGGCCATCCGTTGCCGCACGTGCACGCCTGCGCTGTGTGGGATTGGGATTGGGCTCGGATTCTGACAGGCTTGGCCAGTGTCACGTGAACGACAGCGAAGCCATGGGCTGCGACTCAACAGCTCAGAACATTTCCCCCAAATTTCTTAATAAAGCCCCAGAAAACTTGCAACTTCAAGGGCAAACAACCCTTAAAACAAGCCTGGCATACGGCAGCCCCTTGCCCGCAACTGCTGCCAGACGCTTGCGCCGAAACCATAAGAAGCCAAACACGAAAACCCATAGAACAAAGACAGGCCTTCGCTGTAAGGAAGATGGGACAGTATCATCGTTGTCGACAAACTCCTGGAGTGAGAGGCTGAGAGGAGGTGACTTAGGATTGCACAGGCTGACAAGCTTTACTGCCCGCACACACGCCCACCCCCACAACCAAATTCCCGCGACCCCCACGCCCGCATTCACACCCATTTGCAACTTGGAACAGTGCTGGCCGATATGTCAGTGCACACACACACAGGCTAAAACAAAACAACAAAACTCAATACCTGGGCTCTGCTGTGGTAGACTTCCTGTGTTGATGCAACCGTGCTATTTTGGGGAATGGCTTAGCTTTGGTGCTGATTTCGCGCAGAGAGGGGATGGGAGAGTCTCCTCTTGCAATACAGTGTTCGAATAGACCTTCTCCTTTGACGTAGTCATGCGACCTTTGGTGCAAGGCTTTGTGGAAACAAAGGAAACCCAATCAAAGCAAAGCAGCGACAGAAGCAGAAGCTCTAAAAGCAGGAAGGGCGCAAAACAAAATACAACTCACCCCTTTCCCGGTGCCCGTTCTTTCATGCGTTAATGAACATCTTGCGATCTCAATCTTTTCTGTAATGCAACCTTCATCCATGCGTCCCAGCCAAACAGCACCCGCCATGCCAAAGGACGCACTAATGACAGGAGGGAAACAAGGCAAGAAGCGCAAGAAGGAAGGATTGAGGGCGAAGCGGAAAGAAGGGAGAAACCGCACCACAACACGTCATTCATCCACTCCCTATATCTGGCCAGGTGGCTGCTAGCGCTTCTTGATACTTATCGAACACACAGGCACCGCCCAGACGCCTCCAAGGGTACTGCAGTGTCTTCACTGGGCTCCAGCTCACCTGTGGCGACTATGAGATCAAAGGTCACGGTTCAGGGTTGAGGGCTTGGGGCTCAAGTTTAGAGATCTGGCTTAGGTTAGCGCTTCAGGGTTTAAGGACCAAAGGATACCAACGGGAGCCGCGGACGGACGCACAGAATGCGGGAGGGCATGGAGCGTGGATGCTTTGGAAACCCAAGTCTCGAATCTTCAAAGCCCTCAACACTTCCAGGCTTAAAGGGACTGCTCCTGCTCTCGACGACCCTCACATTGAAACTCAATGTTCGTTTCATGGTGATGCAATGCTGCTACCGCTCCGTTACCCTTGCTAATCCCCTATCAAGGTGCGCATCTTTATCATGAGACGGCTCTGCAGGCCAGGGGGGGTATTCCTGGAGCGGCCCGTGTCCCGGGAACAACCCGGGAAAACCCCCGGAACACGCGAAAACACCCGAACACCGAAACTCGCCAGGAACACCCCGAGAATGCCCCCGGGAACAGCACGAGAAACCGTGGGAACACCCCGAAAACCGGAAATCCTGCCTGGCAGTGAACTGAGGACATCCTCGGAGCTGATCACTCTCCTGGCCAGCGTGCACAAGGTGATGGTCGGGTCATTGCATTCAAGCTCGAGAATTTAAAAAACTTGGCAAATCTCCTCTCCCTCTCTCTCTGCGGACTCTGCAGGCCTCCGGAATCTGCTCGTGCTGTTGCTTGCTTCTGGGTCCGGTGGGTCCGGAGTCATGGGTCAAGCACCCGGCAAGCAGCAGATTCTGCGTACATCAACACTAAAGAAAGCTGAACTCGGTTCAGAATAAGAAGAAACTGACAATGCTAACTCACTGCCTGGGGTAATCTCTGGCTATCCAAACATGTCTGCTCTAAGGTGGGGTTATGACACTACAAGCTTTGCGCCTTTCAGCTCGAATTGCCTCCTGTCAACACCGAAATAGGCAGTTCAAGGTCATCAAGGTCTCGCATGCATCTGTAAATGTCTGCTGAGCAGTTCTCGAGATCGAATGTCCGCGGGGTTTCTGCATCGCGAGGACTTAGAGTCTTGCTGCAAATGCTCTTCATCAGGAAGCACGTTGCATGGGTCATCAGCCAGCTCTTGCCATTCTGCAAAAGAACAAGACTTTACTTGACTGTAAACACAACACGAACACACTCGTTTGAATCCACAGCGCTTGCGTCTCAAAGCTGTGTACGCTTTGGACCGTCTTGCGGCCTCTGAGAGGCACGGTGTAGTTGAGCCTTTCACAAATCTGGTCTCGGCTTGGCCGGACCATGCTTCAGTGATGTCACTAAGTGAAGAGCCGCGACAGGACCTTCCAGAGACATGTATGCTAGATGATCTGTTATATGACTGTGGAGACACCGACTTGACATAACATGCACCGCAGTTCACATCTGAGGCAACTGCTTGACTGAGGCACCGGATGGCTAGGTACAGCAGCATGAAGCTGAAGATGCCTGCCAAGCTGTGCGCAACGAAGATGTATCACAAGCGCTGCGATCCCCCAAGCCTATCAAATAGCGATTTCAAGGCGATTTCAAAAGAACTCCGGAGCCTTTCCACGGCCAGTCGGCAGCTGAGCTAACGGATTCCTCACAACACATCTCACAAATTATATATCTGGTACTTAGTGGGATGCTGCGGCTAACAATGAAAAAGGCATGGCGGCGCTTTGCTCCCAAGAGGCCTCTTCCGATACATCCGGATGCCGTCGGCCTGGAACAGGAACTCTCGGCACACCGGCACTTAGGCCAACTCGAACACTCGAACCCTAAAATGGGCAAACTCCATTTCACGTGCACAACCCCCAACCAGAAAAGCGCCTGCATGTTGCCGATTTGCCCTGGCGAGTTGCTCCTCGGCCCACGACAATTGAAGGGCAAATGTCAATGTGGCATGCGATGTGGCGCATTGTGGCACTGCGGCGAGGCCTCTTCGTATTTCCGACGTGGTCTGCGGCGCATCTGCACCTGCCAGCTTCCATTTGAGGTTTGGAAATGCCCGAAAAGTGGCAGATCCTCAGGATTTTGTAGCATCACTCAACGCAAAGGCTACAGAACAATTCTTCGTTATCGAGACAGATCTCTGCAGTATTCCACATTGTCGCTCATTGCGAAAAGCGCTGCCCCTTTTTGCTCTGGCCTGGCCTGAGCTGGGACTTCCATTGTCGGTGCCTCACCATGGCTTGGAAGGGTTCACAGCTGTTCGTGGCTGGTTCGCTTTTGGAAGCACAGCACATAGTGTTGTTCACAAAATTGCCACAGTATCGACATGTCAAACAATACAACGAAGCACCGCGCCCGCTGCTGTCACAGCAAGCTCAAAGCCACGGACTCCCCAGGCATACTTTTAAGGATGAGTCGGTTTGCATTTGCCGTCGTCAAGAAACCCTTAAACAAATGCCTCGAGCCCCACGGACTCCCTCCAGGACCAGCCTGGCACAAGGCACAAAACAGTCTCCATGACAAACGACCTCTGTAGCGCAAGTAGCTCGCTCAGCTCTGCTTCCGGCGCCCGTGAGACCAAAGCCAACTCACATAGCATAAATTCCGCCGTGGGCACGTCCGATCATGGGCCCGCCGACCCTGCAGGTACAGAAAAATGACCCAGACAACAGCCCATCAGAATGCTCCACAATGCTCCACAATTGCGGGCAAGCATGGCCAAGACTTGGCCAAGCAACAGCTATTTTAGAAGTGATGCCAGGCCTGTTTCCAATCAGGATGCTGCAGCCTCGGTCTAGCGTGCCTGGCAAAGACTGCAGATCCAATAAGAAAGCCCCGAAACGAAGCTTGACTCGGCTAAGCAGGCTCAGCCAGCATCCTACGAATCTGACCGCAAATCGCAAGGTGCACGGAACTTCTTCAGTTGCCTCACCTTTGTCAGTGAGGTAGACCTTGTCTTGCGACTATCTGCGGCGTGGGCTTCTGGACATGCGCGACAAACTCAAACGGAAGGCAGAAAAAAAGGGATCCCTTACTCCGCACCTCGACAGACTTTTCAAGTGCATGCCACGCATGCTCCGACTATGCCCATGTGCAAGCTGGTCTGCTGTCGGTGCGCATGTTTGTCCTCGCCCTGTGTCAGCATTCAAGATGGGCAGCCCTTGAAAACCGCACAGCACAAAGCCCCTCAAGTCGAAGTCAATCCCTCAATGAGAAGACAATGTGAACACAGAGTCTACTGTACCCTAGTGAGCGCTAGTGAGCGCTAGTGAGTGCTGGTGAGTGCTCGTGAGTGCTCGTGAGTGCTCGTGAGTGCTAAGGGACCCCTAAACCAAGCCTGGTAGTCCGCCAACAACCCCCAAAGCCAGAAAGCTGCTTTTGGGCATCCCGGCGGCAGCTGCGCGACTTCGGCCACGGCACGCTGGGGCCACAAGGCCACAGCCGCCTGCGGTGATTTTTTCCCATTACTAAACTTCGATATTTGTTGAAGCTTCTTGAAGGACGCTTTTTTGACGACGCTCTAGACTCACATTTTTCCGCTCCAGGACTTTGAGGCGGTTTGAGGGTTTAAGTGGTTTACGAGGTTTAGGCTTTTTGGATCCTGTCCTTACCAGAATTGCTTACAGATTGCCCTGATGATTTCTGATGACACGCCCAGCGAAGCTCGAGATTCAGGATATCTGTTTCAACAGTTTGGGAAGTCAGCTTTGGGGTAGATCAACATGTCTTGTCAAAGGCCCATGACAAGTACTGCCGGGCATGGAAGGCACATGATGACGAAGTGCTCATGGACAAGAGGATCTGGAGGAGGATTTTTGGAAGCCGCGATCCTCACATGAATGACGCCGAAGAACAAAGGCAGATTCAGCATCCAAACACGAGCTGCTTTTGTGACTGTGAAAGTCGCTACTGCTGCCGCGGATGAGCGGTCTAGTATTCTGTTTTCCTCTAACTTCGGGAATCCCTCGCATTGCGGGCCAGCTGCTCTCACTGAGCCACCCTGACATGCACAGTAGGACAACCGCATGCCTAAAGGATTTTCAAGAAGTTATGCAGAATAATGGTGGCAAGGACATCACGAAGGCCAATCAGCTTTTCAACACCGTGGGAGCAACGTGCAGCAGCACAGCCTTCTGGAGACAATACAGACGACGGTTGTCCAGCGTGAACCAACGATCCTGACGTCTGTATCGACGCAAGTGACGCAAGGTTGCAAAAGGCACAGAAATGAAAAGCGCCTAAAACAGCCTAGGTGAGCCTAGGGCCAGGCATGGTCAGGCTATAGTTGCTGGCCTCCGCGTCGATCAGCTCCCCGCCCGTCTTTGCATCAATTAACGGCTTGCCTGACATGACAGCTTGCTTGATGATCGTCATAAAAGGTTCCCTTGCACACACATTTTTCGGGAAAGGGTAATCTGTGGCAGAGCTCGAAGAAGCTGTTCTGCGCGCTGGCTTCTTATCTTGAATGGTTGGGGGAGAGGGTGCCATGCGGGAGCGGCTCGGAGACGCAGCATATGCAATCCTATATAAACGACAAAATCTGCTACAAGCAATTACACACTTGTTTTTTTGTGCCACCTCGCTGCTGCTAGACTCAAACGAACACGGAATTCCCAACAAATTCGACGCTTCACTTCATAGAAACCGACGACCTCCCGAAGGCACCTGTCTCGTCTCGCAACTTGCAACGCCATTTCATGACCTCCGAGGGTGCCAGGCTAGCGCTTGGGGAACGCTGAACGGAAAAATTCTCGCGCTGGCAATGAGTTCCCCTTGTTTGACGAAGGAAAACTTCCCTCGACTGCCTGCATGCGAAGAATTCTTTGGGCTTCGCTTGGAGCACTTAATTTGAACCCTCATCGCAACATGCCTCAATTGGCGGAAATGGCGCTTTTAGCAGCCACACCTGCGGCATCTCAAAGAAAATCGATTTTTTATGCTGTACCTTTGCCATGTGCTGTGTCCTGTTGATGCTCAAGCAACATGCCAAATATGCCAGAACAGGAAACAGTAAGCACGCAAACCAGGTATCATTGACCGCTTGAATCGGCCGAGGCTGTTGCAGGGACATCATCCCGATCGGAAGCTTCCTGCAACACAAAAGAGCCGCATACCACGCTATGGAAATTTTGAGCAAGCTTGAGCGCGCACACTGCAGCAGCTGTTGCGCGACACAACACTCACACCAGGCTGTTACACCATGAGTGTGCGCAAATGCTGAGGGACTGGCATCAAGTTTTCCTTCAAAGGGCACGTGCTTGATCTGCTCGATTGCCTGCACGCAAAGTCATTTTTTGCATCTTTCCAGCAACAAGCTGCAATTGCGCAGACTGTCACACAGAAAAGATGCTGCGTGGACAAACGCGCCATCAAACGAAACAACCTATCACGCTGCAAAGAACTTGGCGAAAAACCGAGCGGAATTCACGAATCGGAAACCATCAGGATCCACAAATGGCACTTGCAACGCCCCGGAAAGATGCCCGAGTTCGTCTTTAAAAGCCAATGTGCTTTCAGGTTTTCAGTCAGCACGTTTTTCAGGCGGACAAGCCAAAACACGTGAGACAAAAAACTAACTCCTATCGACAGGCGCTGACGGAGTTGTAAAATCGTAGACAACAATCGCCTAAACCCGTGCACTCAACAATGACGCAACGCGTCTTGTCACAATAACAGAATCCGACCATTGAACTTGCGGGGGTGACATAAGCCACTGCACCCGTCAAGTCCACCTCAACCATAAACATCCCTAAACCGATACAATCTTTGAGCCAGCACAAGACT